TTCTAATTTTCTGAATATTTGAATGCAGAGATTTGGTGCACTTTTAATTTCCAATTATCATTCCCCTAACGACCATCCGCTGGTTTTAAATTCACACCTTTTGTCCAGTTTCCATTTTTACAATCATAATAAATCTGTCCTGCTATTTATATATAGATGGAGTAGATAAAAAAAGAATTCACACCTTTCCCAAGAATTTCGAAAAAAAATATAAACTTTGAAATTTTTCGATTCAAAAATCATTCCAATAAATCCATTTTCGATCCTTTACATAACCATATATTTATTTATTTATCATATATTTTATAAAAATAAATAAACTGTTTAATAAATAAATGGAGCGACAGATTTAATTAACTTTAAATATTATTTTTAGTCGATACTCGTAAATCAAATTTTTATTAATAATTTTATTTATTAAACAGTTTATTTATTGATATAATTAAATTAAAAATTCGAGAAATCTTATTGGAGAAATTCTTATGCGTTGTCTGAATTTAACAACCCGAATTGAAATTAGACCTGTCAAATTTTTTTTTACTAAATCGTTTTATTTACGTTAGGATATGAAATATAAAAGATATGTTTATTCCAATTAAATTTTTAAAGATTAATTTTTTTTAAAAAGCATAAACCCGGAAGAATAGTTATACCATTGAGAAGTGCGATAGAAGAAACTATTAACATAGAATTTAAACAGTTACATCTCTTGCCATTTTATGAAAATTTTTATTAACTTGTTGCTGAAGTAATCAAATAAATAAAGGAAAATATTTTGATATAAAAAATTTTTGAAAAAATCTTTTTAAAATAATAAAATTTCATTTAAAAAATATATGTCAATATATATTTTTTAGCCATATGTAATAATTTTGTCTTAATAGACAAACAAAAAATTTAACTTCTTTTTGTCCAAATAAAATTTACCATATGAAAACATTCAAACTTTTGAACTTTGTGTACATAATTAAACATTTATTTTTTTGTCTTAAGTTCATTCAGTACTTTTAGTTATACAACTATTAAACAAAGGGGATGGATTTTTTTATTTATTAATCCAACAGATTTTTTATTACTTAAATGTTATTTTTTATTAATAACTTGTATTATAGTAAATCTGAAATTTTATTTATTAAACAGTTTAAATGAAACATTTTTATGTGCAACGTTCTTTTTTTATAGATACAAATATTTAAGTAAATGTTTCTGTTTATATTTAAACAGTATTAACAACATTTACCATCCTGATTGAAACATTGTAAAATATTGTTGTTCTTATTTAAAATGAATAAATATTCATGAAGAATTTATATCATTTATTTATATGACCATCTTTAGCATATAATTTAAAATCAAATGAAACAAAAAATATTTAAAAAAAAAAAAAAAAAAAAATAAAAAATATATTTGAGTTAGTTCATAAATTTTTGAGACACCCGGAAAAAAAATAAACGTGGAACTAAAACAAAATAACCCAAAAAAAATGAAATAGAAATTTCAGGATAAAAAAAAAAAAACAAAAGAAAAATATATATACAATTTTAAAAAAAATATATGAATATAAAAATAAAAAATAATAACAACAGTCTGAAAATGTAAATATAATTTAAAATTAATTTTAATTAATACCACGAATTCTCATGTTTACAAATAAGAATATATTAAACCGAGTCGAACTGCAGATAAGTATTAATGAACTTAAATTATATTCAAAAATCTATAACACATACACATACACACACACACATACATATATATATATATATATATATATATATATATATATATATATATATATATATATATATATTAGAAGTCAATTGCAATTTTACATTTCAAAATTTTTAAAATTTACATACAACTTAAATTGTTAACCTAAAGTGTTCACTCTTATATTTAAACACGGTCTAAAGAAGTTCAAATATATATAATAAATATTTAAATATATT